TAAGATGCATGTACTCCAAAAGGACTCGCACCTTTAATAAGAATTGTAGGTAGAGATCTAGAAGAAGAAAGATGACAAGACAATTCCTCAAAAATTGGTGAAAAACTGTCACATTATAGTAATTAGTAATCACTATAGTAATCACATTTATGGTGTCACATTATAGTAATCATATTATACCCTACCGCAGCGAAAGAGGCACAGCATCTAACTGGATACAAAGGGACCGTGGACGCAGAACCTCCTGTCATGTATATAGGTTGTTAGATCCACCAAGTCATGAAGTTAGCAGGGGTCCAGCTACAATATGTATGTAAAATGTAGAAGGAACATCTAGAATCACAATAAATAACTACATGAACATCAGATATTCTAGACATCTGTGTCACCCAAGCCAGCTGTAATAGTGGGTCCTTTCAGTTTGCCACTTGTAGAGAGGTTCCTCCAATAAAGCAAAGAAGTCAAATCTTGGTTCATCAACTGATTGGTTTGATAGGTAGGTAAAAACTAAAAAACTGGGCACTTATTTTGGGAATGTATTTGACTTTTTTGCCCTCAGTTTCTCAGCCCAAATGACAGTGTGTAAATTTTCTCAGTGCCTGAGGCACAGTCACAGGATGCTACAAAGGTATCGCCCAGTCAGGGGTTGCACTTCATAGTGAAGGAGTTATAGGAGGACAGCCTAACTACGGAATCCACCGGTGTATTAGAAACAATACCATGTTAAATTGTTGGTCTTACACAGTATTAGAATTGTCTCCTAAAGGGGAATCTAATACTCCAGTCTATAGGCAATATTCTTCAAGAATATATCTCTACTAGGAAGCCTATATGAGAACAGGAACCAAAGGGTGGGAGTGAGTGGCCTGCTTATCATTACTCCTATTCACCTCTGGGTGTTTTGTGCTGTGCAGCTCTGGCACTGCCAGAATATATATAGTAAGGCTCTCTTTAAAGTGTATATACACACATGTACACAGACATGCACATGCACACACACCAACACACACATATAGTACATTAGTAGTGCTATGTGGGGCAGATTAGTACCAGTGCTGCACTGTTACAACTCACATGAGACAGGTTAGTGATAATGGTTTTCTCTATTGATGAGTCTATTGAGTATACTTAATAAGGGAAATACCATAAGTACCTCTCAGATTTTAAATACTTTTAGATATTCTGTTTCATACTGATCAGGATTACTTTTTCCCTGACTGAGTCGGTATTTTCAATTTGTTAATGGGCATGTAATTTTGACAGTTATCTCACTCAGGACAACAATGCTGAACTTCTGCCGTGAATGTAAAGGAAAAGGTATTACAGTGATTCCTCACCTATTGCGGGAGTTATGTTCCAGAGACCCCTGCGATAGGTGAAAATCTGTGAAGTAGCAGCATTATATTTATATATATTTTAAGGCTTCATAAACCCTTCCCACACTCCTATAAACCTTTCCCATTCTCTTATTAACCTTTCCCACACTCTTATAAACGCTTCATGTGCTCTTAAACACTTTCTACACTCTTAAACCTACATAATTTTAACAACGTGTAAAATTCTATATGGGTACTCACCAGTGAAGTATACTACAACTTGCATGATGAAGATCATGAATGACGTAGCTGTGAAGTACTGATGGTGGTGATGAAGGTGATGACGATGAGATGAATGTACTGCACACCAAAAAAGAGCACTACAGCTCTTGTGAAGGCACCACTTCATCAGGACGCTTCATCTAGTGGTGCAGTATCTTCACCCTGGGCCATAACTGATCTCTTCTTTGGAGTGATGAACATAGTTATGGGGCGTTGCTGGTGCTGCTTTTTCTTCTGAGTGAGAAGGTTTTTATAACCTGACATGCCACTCTTGATTGTATTTATGAAGTGCAATGAATGAAGCATCTGGGGTTCCCATTCTTGAGCTACTTGGTGAAGTTCTTTGGCCATTCTGACGATGGTTGCAAACTATGGACTGTTAGGCCAAACTCCTCCTCTTCTCCAACCCATAGTTCATCTTGTTCCTCATCCTCTTCCTCACTTGCTCACTTCGTCACCTCTGTCAGGTCTTCATCAGTCAACAGTTGTGAGTGGACATCAGTCAGGTCATTCCCATCATCAGAAGTCATTTCATTGAAGCCATCTCCTCTCAGTAGCCTTGCCAGCTTCACGGCCTTAGCTACTGCAGAGTGACGGACTTCATCAGGAGCGAATCCCTTGAATTCGTGGGCCATTTCTGGCCACAAATTTTTCCAGCTGGCATTTAGTGTTTCACTTTTCATCTCCTTTATGGACTTCTGAATATTTAGGAGGGTTCTGGGAGATAGTTCAGTGGCACAGGGACTGCCTGGCAAGCGCAAGGTACTGAGTTCAATTCCCAGTACCAAAAAAAAAAAAAAAAATCAACTGAATATTTAGGAGACAGGATGCAATATTATAAACACAACAGTATGACTTTAGTGAGAAGATTTCATCCGAGTCCATAGTTTCAACCAGGTTTTACGGGGAGTTTTGTGTGCAGAATGCCTTAAAAGCACAGATAACACCTTGATCCATGGGCTGAATGAGCGTCGTGGTGTTTGGCGGCAAGAACTCTATCTGGACGCCATTATAGGACAGTTCCACAGCATGGCCTCCAGCACTGTCCATGATCAGAAGCACTTTGAATTCGAGGTTTTTCTCTGCCAGACAAAGCTTAACCTCTGGGGTAAAGCACTGGTGGAACCAATCAGCCTCGAGGAGTTTCGAGATCCAGGCCTTGGGGTTGTGTATGCAGTACATAGGCAACACATTCTTAGTTTTGTTTTTTAGGGCCCTTGGGTTTTTCGACTTACAAATAAGCCCTGGGTTTATCATAAAGCCCGTAGTATTCCCACACATAATCAGAGTTACTCGATCTTTTTAGGCCTTAAAACCTTTGGCTTCATCCTTCATAAGAGAAGTACAAGATGGCACCTGTTTCCAAAACAAGCCTGTCTCATCCCTGTTAGAAACTCCTTCAGGCTTATAGCCGCCTTTCTCGATGATGGATTTGAACACGTCGTTCACGTACTCCTCGGCTCTGGCTTTATCTGCAGAGGCAGCTTCCCCATGCAGAAAAACACTCGAGTCCAAAGCGTCTCTGAAATTTGTCAAACCAGCCCTTGCTGGCACTGCATACTGCAAAATCCAGTGATATAGTGAAAACTGCACGACACAGAATCAGATATATTTTCTTAAAAACTCATGATACACCGAAGCCGAACCGCCATACAGCGAGGGCCGGTATTCAGCGGCTCCCAGCAAATAACTTCCAGCAAATAAACAAGTTTCCCAGCAACATAGGTTGAATGATACAGAAGAGGTTCATGGCTGTGCTGAATGCTTGTGTTTCTACTTCCTTTAGAGTCACCTGACCTTGTTCAGCCAGTTCCCTCCTAGTGCTGTGTGCTGCTGCTTGCTTCTCCCTTCTCTGTCTGTGTAGTAACCCTTACTTCTAAGCTCCACATTCATTGCTATGAGAATTTACGGTCCTGCAGAAAACCCAGAAACCTTCGTCTCTACCTAGTTTTAAGGAATAACATATTTGACCAATGACTATTTAAATGGAAGCCTGATGATAGCACTGGATTAGTAGCCTTGTGTCAATACACGCTTTCATAAACCTTTAGCTAAACCAAAGGCCAGGAAAAATCATCTTGATATCACAATATCACCTCTATCCCTTTAATTATCTCAGAATTGTCCTAACAGGGCTTTGCCGTGTTAGATATGGAGTACATATGGTCATTTCCGGTTGCTGTCACTCTGTACAAGTACGACTTTGACAATGTAGATACACTGATTAGTATACAAGGCACAAACATTTGAGAACATTAAACAGTCTTATGTAAAGGGCACAAAAGAATTTTAGGACATAGGCAGAGAGATCAGTTACATGATCCAGCATTGGATAATGTAATCACAAGATTACAAACGTAATAGTACTAAATCTCACTAGCAGATGTATGGTTGCAAAACTGAAAGTATAATGAAGGACTAGAATATCTCTCTTCTTCTAGCCCTACTCATATCCTGCTTAGGGTCTAGTATAGGGACTCACTAGAGATTATTTCACTAGGACCAGGAAAATCTCACTAGTCAGACATTTACAATGCAGAGTAGAACAGACAGTACTTGAAGGGAAGAAGCAAATGTTCTTCTATCTCTCCAAACTATCTAACCCAGGACACTGTTCAAAGTACTTTCTTGAACTCAGAGCCATGGAAATAGAATAAAGATAATCTCCCTGGACATCTCTGAGATTCATGCTATTAATCTCAGGCTCAGTGAATGGATCAACTGGTAACTTTGGGAAAAAACATTTGAAAAACCTAAGCTTTAATAAACACATTGGGTTTGCAGGTTCTAGGACAGCTAGAAATGGTGCCTAGGACACAGATTTAGAAAACAGAACATGGGGGCTGGGGATTTAGCTCAGCGGCAAAGCGCCTGCCTGGCAAGCGCAAGGTCGTGAGTTCAGTTCCCGGTACCGGAGAAAAACCATAGAAAACAGAACTTAAGAGGACATATTGTTTCTTCAACCATGTGGTGATATGAAGGACCTCCATAAATTCGTGTTTCAGCATCATTTTTCATGTTATTTCAGAATAATGAAAAATTTAATGAAAAGAACTATAGAGTAAAAATGTACTGTCATATAATGTTACAGAAATTCAACTCAAAACAACCTAAGAAAAAAGGAAAACTTACTGAATAGAGCACATTCTGGAAAACAAAAGATTTCCTGTGAGAGTTCCTAAAACTAGGCTTTGGGGAGATAAACTTTCATTGCTTTTGTCTTTGTATTTCTTTTCTCCCCCCATGTAGTCTGTTAAGTAGCTTCAGAGCCTTACATATTAAAACTTTACAATGCCACCAAGGAGAACTTGCTTTGAATGTTTATCTGTATTCTTAAACTAAACACTGTAATTTGGCTCAGCTGTGGTTAGTGGACCATCCGAGAACTACAAAGAGAGAATCACAGTAACAAAATGACTGCCGTAGGGTAACCACAGGGGTATGGAAAAGTGACGGAAGAGAGGACAGGCCAGCAACGTTCAGAAGAGTAGTTTAAGGAAAAATAATGACATATTCAAAGCATATACAATTTATACATTTCCAGGGTAGAAATAAGTCTATAGCAGAATTGTTCAAATTTGGCACTCTTGACAATCTGGATTAAAAAATTCTTTGTTGTGGAGGAATGCCTCGTGAAATTGCAGGACGTTGAGCAGCATGTTGGCCTCTCCTCCCTGGACAGCAGAAATACCTCCCTGCTCATGACAATCAAAAATGTTTCCAGCTATTGACAAATGACCTGGGGATGGAGGAGAATTGCCGCCCCTCAAGGAGTTCGTTGGCCTATGGCAATCACACTTCATCAAGTCGTCTGAAAAATATACTGAAGTAACCTTAAAAAAGATTATAATTGATATACAGATATAGAACTTAGTTAAATGTGGAAATTAGCATAGAAACATAAAGAATTTATGCTTATAAATGCATCAAAGTATTCAGAAATTAATTTGTTGTTAGTCCTAGGTTAAACCATTTCAGGGCATCAAGTCACGTTTCTCATTTTTAAAATGGAGGCAGTAACAGCCCTGCAGAGTATTAAATAATCATGTGAAAGTGGGTTGGAAGTGGTTTTATGAAGTAGAATCCCAGTATACTACAGAAACTCAAATCCACGAGGACAGTTCAGGGTTTTTTGGGGGATGGTTATTATTCTAATCTTGTCTCATTTTAGAATAGGATTTTAGTATAATATTGATGCAACTAAAATAGTAGAGTTAATAAGACAGCTTATGTCATTTGATGTGTTTTGCAATGCTAAGAATTTTATTCATTTCATTACTATTAACAATGGTAGATAATTTATTTTGTAAAATTATTGCCTTTATTAAACATCCTGAATAATTACAAATAAATAATTTAAAATGTGTATATTTTTATCATATAAATTTGGAAGCAGCCATACTGCAGCCATATATAAACTTTTGCATTTATTATTCCTTGACAAAAATTATAGCGAGTCTTTAATGAAATACTGAACATGGAGTAGAAATAATAAATTTGTCTTCTAACAGGATATACTTAAGTCATTCCAAAACCCACATTATAAAGATAAATGAAACTTCCTATCACATGGAGAATATCAGCACCACCAAAAACAACTCTGATGGAAGTAATAAAAACAAACCAACCAGTATTCATTGAATGGTTGTTCTGAACTTGGAATGGGTCTAAGCACCCTATGTAGATAATATTATTTAATAGTTGAGAAATTTATAACTCCTGTAAAGAATATTTAAAGTCCAGAGGTAGGAACAGATTTAGAAGATTTACTCCTTTCTTAGGATACCATGGTGACGTCTTCAGATAATTAGGCTACTCAAATCTTTTTTAGTGCTCCTATTATGATATGTTTATCTGTTTGTAGTATCTAAGAGTACGTCTTAGTATTTTCTATTTAACACATATATTTTGTTCACATTTTGTTTTTCAAATTTAAATTTGTTGAATAACTATAGGAAAGAGAAGAAATAATGCATAATGGTTTGTGTATTTTTTCTTTTTTGCTTCTTGTATATTATACTTTTGGCCTATGATGATTCTTCTTCTTCCTCCTCTTCTTCCTCTTCCTCTTCTTCTTCTTCTTCTTCTTCTTCCTCTTCCCTCTCTTCTTCCTCTTCCTTCTCTTCTTCCTCTTCCTTTTCACTTTCCGGTTCTTTTTTTGCCTCCTTCTTCTCTTCTATTTTCTCTTCCCCTTTCATCTCCCCCTTTTCCATTTGTTTTTCTGCTTCAGATTCTTCAGGGGTAAATATCATCTGTTTTTCCAAGAAGATATATGGAAAATGAGGCTGTACTATCAAAACAATCATGACACATAGCAGAAAACATACTATTCTCACTAATAAAACAAACATGCACAGTGGATCACACACAATTGGCCGGGGCACTTCCCAACGTGGATACCAAAACTGGTAATCTGTAAACAAAGGAGCAATTGAAAGCTGGATTTCACATGCAAGTAGTTAAATTGTTCAAGAAATAAAGGACAATGATACATACATATGGCTTGATCACGATCTGCATTACCTAGAAAGAAAAAGAAAGTCTATAAAGAATTACATAAATTTTTTTCTTTCTGAATAATAAAGAATTTCTCCAATAATAATCCGATAAATAATTCTCCTAATTTTCAGGCATCATGCTCCCATTTTTGATACCCCCCCCCCCAACTAGCCATTCATCAACTGCAAAATACTCTTTTATAGTAAAAGCCAGCCTGGTTCCCAGAAAGTGTGGAAATACAGGAGTGGGGTGATATGAGCCTAGTACCAATTTTGTGTCTATATCACTATGTCACCTTATGCAAGTCATGTCACCTCTGCCTTCTAAAGACTGTTCCAGTTCTGACTATAGGATTTTCCATGTCCTGTTTGCATCTCTTGTTTTCTCCCTAGATTGCTCTGAATTAATCTTACAAATTAATTCATTTTCCTATTATTTTCAGAGGCTTTCCATTGCTCCTCATTTCTGAGATGACAAAGATACCCTTAGAGCCCAACCTGCAGTGTTTTTAGCTACCTAGCCCAATGAGATCATAGTACTTTTCAGGAAATAAATTGCCTTTCATCTGTTCACCATGGCGCAGTGGGTCAGACAACCCCTCCTAAATTCCACTAGGAACGAGTGGAAGCATAAATGAGTTTGCACAAATAGAAAACCCAGTGTCCATCTGGGCTTTGCCCCAAAAAGATATTAACCCATGGGGAAAATTTAGAATTTAACCTTCAGGCTCCTTAGTAACAAACTGACTTCCAGTGAATCTCTGAGGTTATTTTAGCATTTTGTGCTTGGCCTTACTTCAAATATTATGTAATAATTTCTGTATTACAGAAACTTTTGATTTTATTTTTTTGTCTTTTTGAGACAGGGTTTCACTATGAAGTTCAGGCTGGCCTCAAACTCACTTTGTAGCTCAGGCTGGCCTTAAAGTCACAGCAATCCTCCTGCCTCAGCCTCCCAAGTTCTGGGATTATAGGAGTGAGCCACTATGCCTGATCTTACAGAAACTTTTTAAAAGGAATCTTTTACTATGGTTTGTGTTTTCATTCTGTGTATGAATATCTATTGATCTGTATAAGCAATAATATTTCCTCTTTGCCTCTTCCTTCCCTTCTCATTTTTAAGTTTCATTGATTACATTCTTATATTATGTGCATATCATTAAATATTTAAAAACACTTAAATTTATCTATATTGCTATTGTTTATCACCTTTTAACTAGTATCTTTGTCTCTAATTATAAATGATAAAACCGTATTTGCATCTCTCTTTTCCTCCCAACTTTTATTAATGGCATGATTTTTATATTGATAAAACTCATTTTATGCATATTTTATTTTGTAATTACTATCACCAGATTTGTTTAGTCTATCTGTTAAGGTTCAATGCTTACAAATACTTCTTTCAATGCAGTTTTTTAATTAACCCTTTTAGTGAAGGTTGTCTTCTAAAGTTCCTTGAGAAACTGCCTGTGAGAACTACATATCAAAATTACTGCATGCTCTCAAACAGCTGCCTATTTGTGAATAACAGGTTTGGCTGGATATAAATTATTAGTCGACAGTTCTTGCACTAAGGATGAATAGGCATCACTGCACTGTTTCTTAGTGTTGGGTGTCACGGGCAAGAATTTGAAACAAGGGGCTGGGGATTTAGCTCAGCGGCAAAAGCGCCTGCCTGGCAAGCGCAAGGTCGTGAGTTCGGTTCCCGGTACTGGAGAAAAACCAAAAACCAAAAAAAAAAAAAAAAGAATTTGAAACAAGTGAATTTTTTTCCCCTTTTTGTGGGATGATCCATTACCAATATAGTATTGGTACCACCCCAGTTTATACTTGATTTTGTATTGCAGCAGAAGTTCTGTGAATCTTTGTATAGCTTCAGGTTAGAGTTTTCCAGGGACGAACACACTCATGAAATTTGGGAGATGCAGACAACTGGAAGCCATAACTCTCCAGAGGTGACTGTGAGCCAAAGACTTGGATGAATGTGAGAGTCACAATGGCTTTGCTTAGAATGGAGAAGTATTGCTTTGCTGCCACTTCTCTCCCTTTTGGTTGCAGCCTCTGGGATCTCGGCTCTCCTAGTGGTTATAGAAGTCATAGAGAACTGTATTTCTTATATGAAACACTTTACTGCCAGAACTCTCAGAATGGCTGATTTCCTAATTCAGCTGAGACTGTTAACCAGTTAATAACTGGTTTTATATCTTTGCGTACATGATTAAAGGAGTCCTTCTTTTTTACTGAAGTTCACTAACTTACTAGGCTGTCTACTATGTTAGCTATTTTTGGTCACTTTTTCCTGGCATTTAGTGCATATGTTCAACATTTACGTTTACCAATCAGATTCTGTGGTCAGGATTCTCGGTATAATTTGGCTGTGTTCGTTGTTTCTGGGTCTCATTGGACTGAAATCAAAGGGTTGATTGAACTGTGGTCTCATCTCAAGGCTTGACTGGAAACAATTCTGCTTCCAAACTTACTTATTCTGTAGAATTCATCTCCTTCTGGTTGTAGGACTAAGAATTTAAGTTTTGGTTAGCTGTTGGCTGGAGATCACCTTCAGTTCTAGTGGTGACCTCCAGTTCTCTGACACACAGCTCTCTGCACGGCCAGCTAACAGTACGACCGCTTGCTTCTTGAGGGCCATCAGGAGAATGATAGTTCATCATCAATATTCAGTTTTGTGTGAGATAATCACAGGAGTAATATCTCATCGCCTGTGGCATCTAATCTCATTTACGACTGACATCATAGAACCTTTGTTGTATTCTAGCGGTGAGAACCAAGTCACAGGTACCATCCACATTCAAATGGGGGGATTACATAATGGACACTATACCGGAAGTTGGGAATCATGAGTGATCGCCTTTGGGTTTGTCTGCCACATTATTCTATTTATTTTTCATTTTATTAGTACGTCTTTGCAGTACCTAATATTACATTCACTGTGTGCAGTTGGCACATTCACATAACACATCGTAATTCTTTTTACTTCGTCCTACTCCATTCTCTATCCGATCCCTCCATCCTATTTGCCATATTCCAAGTATTTGCAGGATATTGTCAGAGGGAAAAAGCCAGATCAGTTTCTAGGTTAACGGAACAAAATTCTTGGTTCATTGGCAATTTTCTTCATGTCACAAGACTGCTGCATGAAGTAGCTTTTAATCATGATTTCTCCCCATACAACAAAACCCAGCAGTTACAATGATGTCAAATCAAGAGATTTGTTTGCTCAGGACAAATTTCTTACTGAAAAGATGTGATTTTTTTAATACTTACCTGGCAGGGGAGATACCATGATCATGAAAAGATGTGAGTTTTTTTTAGCTGATTTCTCATTCTGTTTATTGGTTTCCTAGGAATGCTATAACAAGCTATGACAAACTAGATGTCCTAAAACTACAAAATTTATTCTTCCACAGTTCTGGATGTTAGAAGTTGGAAATCCAGGTGGCAGTTGGGTCATACACCTTTCAAAGCTTCTACAGAAAGGTGATTCTTTGTCTCTTCCAGCAATCTCTGGCATTCTTTGACTTATAGCTGTTTCACTCCACTCTGACTCCATCTTTACATGGTCTTATTTCCTCTGAGTGCAGGTGATGATTAAATGTTTCCATCTCTAATAAGGATATCAGTCAAGGGATTCAGAGCTCACCTATAACCTAGGATCACCTCATTTTACCTTACTAATTAGTAATAATTACTTACTAGTTACTAGATTACCTTTCCAAATAAAGTAACATTTTGACTTAGTTGGTAGTTCAGTTTTGGGGGAGGGATATCATTTAGTCCATTACAAACTGCTTCTTCTACTTCTCATCTGTGGAAAACGTGCTGGGAGTTTTTCATTCTAGACTATGCATTTGGTTTTTTTGTCTTGGAAAAGAAATTGTTAGGTTTTTTTCTCAGAGTTTGCCACTTATTTTGAAAATGTGCTCTATGGGCTTTGGGATTTTCAGCCACCGATAAATCCTCTGAACTTGACTGCCTCTGTATTTACTTGGAAGAAGAATGCAAATGGCTACTGATTTCAGTGAGATGTAGTTTATATTTATTTCTTGTTATCTTTGTGGTTTCTAAACGTTTTACAAAGAGAAAGGGGTAGAACCCCACTTTCTATTTAAAAACCTATCTTCCAATTCTGGTTCCAGGTATGGTGTAATAAACACACTGTAACTTTTCTCTTCCACTAAATAAAACTAAGTCGTAGATAGAATGTACAGGCAGCTGTTTGAGAATTGTGAAGAGGAGACATCTGTGGACAGACTGAGAAGAACACCAGAGTTCCAAGTATGTTGAGTTCACCATTTCTCCCCACTGTAGTAACACCCAGCCTGAACTCAACATTGTCTAGAATCCAGTAAGATTTATAGTGTAGACAAAGAAATCTAGGAGAGCACTCTGGTTTAGACTCACGGAGTGGGAAAGAGAACTTGTAAGAAATGGAACTCTTAGTACTCTGATGGTGAAAAAAAATCACCAAAGGAGTTTTCGCTCTTTTTCATCCATTCTTTCATGTCCTAGACCCTGGGTAATGTGGTGGCAATGATTATGGCACCAAAATGGCCAGCAGGAAACCAAAGTGCCAAAATTCTGAGGAAAGAAGGTCTTTTTTCATCTGTAGCTTCAAGAGGACTGGGCCAAATTCTTCCTCTTTTTTTTTTTTTTTTTTCTGATACCGGGAATTGAACTCATGACCTTGCACTTGCCAGGCAGGCGCTGTGCCGCTGAGCTAAAGCCCCAGCCCCCACATTCTTCTTCTTTGTGTCTGTTCTTCTATTGCTTGGGTTCTGAACATGGCTCAAACATGAAAGTAGGTGACTTTGGTTAGAGTAAAGAAAATGGAATATCCGGGGAAGTGGGAGTAACCAGATAGACAGCACAGAAATAAGAGCTTTGAATAGGATCGGAAGAGACTTTAGAGACATTGTAAAACTGTTTAGGAACTTATGGGCTCACCTAGGCATGAGAACCAGGTATAGATATGATATTAATTAGCATGGCAAAGACCCTGAGAGCAGAGCTGATTAGTAACAGCTGTTTGTTGTTTTTTTTTTTTTGGTCAGGACTGAGTGTAGTTTAGGCAGAGATATGAAAAGCATTTCCAAGGCTTTGAAAACTAAACTCTGGGGCTATAGATATAGCTCAGCAGCACAGTGCTTGCTTGGCAAGTGCAAGATCCTGAGTTTGATTCCCAGTAATAAAACAAACAAACAAACAAACAAAATAAAACAAAACAAAACAGAAAAAAAGAAAAGAAAAGAAAAAAAGAAAGAAAAAGAAAACTAAACTAAACTTTGAGACTATAGTCTACAGAAGGAAGATTGGAAATTCTGGCCAGAAACTAAAGAGATCAAATATCTTCTAAAAAACATCAACATTCTCAGAATTTAATAAGGATCCAATGCTTCAATATGAAATATTCAAAACTCTAGTACATGATTCAACCCCCAAATTCTCAAATCAAATAAGAAAAAGCAAGTAATAACCACGATGAGATAAAATAGACACTGGAATTATTAGACAAAGACTTTGAAATAAAAGTCACAATGGAAAGATTCAACCAAGAAACAGAAAACATAGAAAAGAATAAAATGGAAAGTTTAAAACAGAAAAGTACAATGAAACATTGAAGAAAAAACAAAACAAAAACCTGGAAGGAATCCATAGCAAACTACAGATGACAGAGGAAAGAATCTTTGAACTTGAACACATATGATCCAATCACGGAGGGAATCATGGGGAAAATTTAATAGAAAAAAAACCAGGTATGAGTCAGGAAGGATATGGATCAATATTGAAAGCTCTAGCATTCATGGCATGTAAAGTCTGATAAAAAGAATGTGATGATGAAAAAATTGTCTGAATAAATAGTGGCTGAAAACATTCCAAGTCTGGTAAAAGATATAAACCTACAGATGTGAAAAGTTGAGCACATGTCCTATACAATAAGTTCAAAGAAATTTACACTCATAAACATCATAATCAAACTGTGGACAATTAAATAGAAAAGACCAAATGAGCTGGGGGAAAATAACATCTCCTAATAAGTAACAAAGAATTATGTGACTGCGGGGGCTGGGGATTTAGCTCAGTGGCACAGTGCTTGCCTGGCAAGCACAAGATTGTGAGTTCGGTTCCCAGTACCAGAACCCCACCCCCCACAAATGAAAAGAATTAAGTGACTATGGATTTCTCATCAGAAATCACAGAAGCTACACAGAGAAGGCACGTTATTTTTTCAAAAAAGCATTTTATATCTGGCAAAAATAGCCTCAGGAATTAAAAAGAAATACAAACATTTTTTCAAATGAAACTTTAAGGAAATTTATAGCTAGCAGACCTGCTGTAAAAGAATTGCTAAAATATATTCTTTATATAGAAAATAAATGACACCAAGAAGAAAGCTTTGGATATGAGGAATTAAGGAAAAGCCACAGAAAGATAAGTGTAATAGGCTATCTCTGTAACTATAATAGGATATTTTTCCTCTTAACTTCATATGAGAGCTGAAAACAAAAGTATATCATTGATGGTATTTTGAATGTATTTAGGTATAATATGTAAGACAAATTTATGGTATATAGAAAGTCTAAGGGAACTTATATAGGAAGAAGTTTTCTACATTTCAATTCAAGTGCTCAACTATTGATTCTAAATAGTCTAAAAAATTAAGTATATATGTTACTTCTCCAAGGCCTACCCAGCAATTGGGAATATATGTATGTAGATTATATCTATATCTATAATATATACATATATATATATATACACACACATACATACTTATATCTGTGTTTCTTTAGATTTACTGATACCCTTAAGTTCCAGAGCCTCTAACTCCAATTAATCACCTCAAGATTCATGCTTATTTTCTTTCTTTATATATTTATACTTCATTCTGTGAGAAGACTAGCCCCCATTCTCCTTAAATTACTTATTTAATCAACCTGCCAGTATGTTGCTAATCTCCTACTAATGCTTATACCATATTCCCCACATAGATGTTCTCATACTGCTTGGGTTCCAAAAACCCATGCAAGGGCTAAGGTATGGTTATAGGTAGCAAATAAAAATAAAAGATACTCAGATAAATTTGAATTTCAAAAAGAAATAAATAATTTGTTTTAGTATAAGTATTTTGCATGCAATACTTGACATATACTAAAAGTACTGTCATTTATCTACCATTCAAATTTAACCAAGTGTCCTGTGTTCAATCATCTACTGCCCCTCCAACCTGAGACACACTCTCACCTTGCTCCGACTTTGAAATGTAGCTCTGGCCTTCTTCACTGTGTCTTAGTTTGGACTCCAACACTTCAGGTCAGTTTGCTGCTAACCATGGATGATCCCTTCACCTGCTTCAGTTCTGGTATTTCTTGCCAGGCTACCTGATATCTGATTCCTCTCTGCATTCTGCTTTATCTTCAACAGCCAGTGCCAGACCATTGCACACTGGGTGCTCTCCTCACCCACTCAGACTCTGATATCCTACAGCAGGCTTCCCCCTCTGAAACTCTCCTCACCTTGCATGAGCATACTACATGTCGAGCCATGCCTGAATGGGCATCCCTTCACCCTGCTCTGGCTGTAATATTCCACATAAGTCTGACCTCAGGTGTGGTTAATTGCTTTGCTCTATGAGGGCTCTGATTTGATACCAGGGTCACAAATCCATGTGGACACCATTCTCACTTTGCTTAGGGTACAGGTTCCATTATGTGCACTGCACTTCATGTAGATCCCTGCCATGCAGTTTAAACTCTTAGACATCAATCTGGCTGCCCCTCTGTGTAGACACCTACCTGGCAATGACCCTACCTGATGGCTTTAGGATTGAACTTTTTCAAAAGAGAAGGAAAGGGAGAGAAGAAGAGCAAGACTTTGCATCTTGATTCAAGTAAATTGTGGGCAGAAATATTAGGGTGGGTTCACCCCCATAGTGTTTTCTATATAGTGTTTTTACTGCAGTTTTTTTTTAAGCAAAACATAATAGGCTCTAAATTCATTCCCTATGACATTTTTCTAAGCGTTGTATGTGTTGGCTATAATATATGTTCCATGATACATGCTGCTATGTTTCAAAAAACTAAAAGGAAATTTTAATCAAACATTTGATCTACATTTTGTTCTCAGACTATTTGAGATATTTTAAGGCCTTTTTTTGGGGGGGGAACAATGAGAAAGGGCTATTTAAAGGATACCACTTTACATTTTTATCTTTTATAAATATTTTAGAGTACTCTTTTCAGTGTAGTCATTGTCAAGCTGGCTGTTGCTTCAGACATTAGTTTTTTTTTTTTTTTTCCCTCCGGTACCGGGAACTGAACTCACAACCTTGCGCATGCCAGGCAGGTGCTTTTGCCGCTGAGCTAAATCCCCAGCCCCCAGACATTAGTTTTGAAGCTTTTTCAGGATTTAGCTGTTAGTTTTTTCACTCTTTAATTCTGACATTCTTACGTGTCTTTAGGGGAAGAATAGGGTCAAGGGATAGCAGAAAAGGCTCTGCAGTTTTAGAAAAATCTAGGCGGTAGTGTTTCAATACTTCAGTAAAAAAATGGCATTAGAGTCAGAGGAACAACATTAACAGCACAACACAAAGCTAGCATTCAGTCATTTCGCTTTTCCTTTTGGCCTATGCTTTATGGATTTTTTTCCTTTTTAAGTTGTCTTACTGCATAGAAGATCTGTGCATCTGTCACGTCCACCACACTGAGTACAAAATATCCCTGCATGGTAAGGTCTTCTAGTCACAATTCCTCTACAAAAAAGTAGAAAACAGGAAAAGATTCAATTTTTACATTTTACTTAAAAATATGGTTATCAATTTTAACTAGTATTAAAGGTTTTTAATTAACAAAATGAGCACCAGTAAGTACACAAAGATACAATCTTCCCTTTATCCCCACCCCAGGAAACTGTGTCTTCTAAAACTAACTTTTACATCTTTGAAACAGAATTTTGTGATTTAAGTATAAAACTGGACTTTGAAGCTTGTTTTACATTTTGTAGCAAAGTACATCTTTTAAAATTGATGATATAGAAGTCTTTGTAATTAATTATTTGCTTTCTAGTTGGTACAAATGTAAAAAAAGTTTTATAAAAATGATATATTAATCATTTGAAGAGCTTACAAAATCCTGAATGCCCACTGTGGAATCTACATGAAAAAAATACATAGATATATACACAAAGAAATAAATATAAGTAAGATTTTTATGCAGTTGATTTACTCCATTGTAGAGAGCTGAAGAGAAAGGTGAGAAATTATTGCATCAATTGCATAGAGCTCACTAAGTAAAAAAGGTCCCAAAGCAGATACAAATTGGAAAGTTTACATTAAAACTGGCATAAGAAAGATAGAGAAGATATGAAGGGAGAAGATATTTCTGAATAAGAGTTAGTCATTTAAATAGGATTACTTATTTACCAACTAGAAGCTATAAAAATAATAATTAAATATATTAGTTCCCGGTTAGCCATTGTACCTAGAAGAATGGCCAAACTTAAGTACTATATATTCAAATGTCTGAATATCATTTTTCTTAACCATATCCTATTTAATCAGAAGGGTTAGATGGTTTAGGTGATATCTAATAAATTGCAAGCATTTACGTCCAAGAGGGACACCTGGAGGTTGTCATTACTGGCAGGTCTTATGTAAATTCTTTAATTTTACTACTCTACTATCAAGCATTTTAAGGAGGAAATGCATTTTGTTTAGAGTTCAGTCAGAGCCTCAGTCTTCCAGAAATGGGAAAATTAGTCCTGTTACTTTTACCTACAATTTAGTTCACTTTTCCCATCTTAACTCTTTATCATATAAATAGATGTCTCCAACACAAAAGTAAAGTTTATCCTCTCCTAAGACCTCGGGGATGGAGAATCCCTGCCCTTGTACCTATGCAGAAAGCCACTCATTATTAAGATTGCTTTTTTAGGCCTGGAATATAGGTGAGCCACCCTGTGCCACAATATCTGAATAACTATAACTTGGGAAAACTCTTGAAAAGCAAACAATTTAACAAATAAATATACATTAAGCTAAAGTACAATGAATCTCTTTTTTTCAAAATTTTAGTTTCATAATCATTATTTAAAGTAGCTAGAAATATCAGGCTAATGCTCTTCTGTGCCAGTCTTCCTCTATTTCTGAGTATTTAAGAAAGTTGAACTTAAATCAAATTGGACTCCAGAATACAACTCCTAATTGCAGTTGGAATTCTTAGGAGAGATAAGGAAGTAACAATAAGCAAGTACTGTAACAAGCAAGGCGGTACTTGAAGAAACAGATGAAACACTTATCTTTGGGCCTTTGGCTTTTCTAAGTAGCAGCTCAGTGGTTCGCTGAGAGCAAGTCCAGACTCTGACCATAGGCCACTGGTACTTTTATTAGTCTCCTCTCTAGATATACCTTCATTATTTGCCACCTATAGAACACATGTTCATGCCCTAGATAAAGACAAGTAACTTGAATGGCTTAACAGTTGTACCTATTTCTAAACCCAAGTCTGTTAGAAGACCATTATTAAAGCTTTGTTTATAGAGTCATTTAGAATGACACAATTCCAGTGGTGGTGGAAACTTTCTTTCCTAATGCTAGAACACATGTTTGCCACAACCTTTATTAAAAGGTAATTCAGGCCTCTGGATCTACAATATAGATATTACAATTTATGGGTCTATTTCTCAGAATTCTCCATGCAGATGCACATAGTCTGTAAACTGTTCATGCAGCAATAACAAAGCACATAAAACAGGTTTTAATTTTTACACTTCACACAAACATAACAACTAGATAACCCACAATTTCTATCTTTGTTTTGAGACAGGGTCTCATGATGTAGTTCAGGCTAGCCCTGAACTCACTATATAGCTCACAACAGCCTCAAACACATGTTCCTCAACTTCCTTAGTACTGAGATTATAGATGTATGCCACCACACCAAAACTTCTTCCATTTATCACAGAGAAATATCACAATACTGGCTATTGGTTCATTTCTGGAGTGTCTATAGGTTTCCCAAGACTTAAAGAACCTATCCCAATAAAATGAAGAAAATACAATCTTAGTAGTAACAAAGAAATTAATCTAGTTGGAGATCTTATCTGGGTCTCTTTCTGCATTAGTCAGCTTTCCCATTGCTGGGCAAAATGCCTGACATACACAACTTAATGGAGGAGGAGTTTACTTGGTTCAGTTTCAGAGGATTCAGTGTATGGGGTCCATAACTCCAAATTAGTAATATTATGATGGGAGAGTGTGGGGAGCAAAGATATTTTAGATCATGGAAGTTAGGAAAGAAAGCAAGGAAACAGTACCAGAGAGGAAGGGGCCAGGGACTAGACATAGTACCCACGGTTACACATCTATAACTCAACCAGACATACCCAGAAGTGTGCTTCACTAATCCTTGGGTGACACTGAACCCAATTAGGTAGACAATCCAGCTTAACCATCACATTCTACCCTTTGTTAACCCACAAGTACATCTTCTTAAAGTATAATCTCTAAGTAAAGACACTAACAGGTTAATAATTCTGCCTAACACGATACTACTATCATCATATAACTGAAAATGCAATAATCTTTTTTCCAAATTCTCACAAGTTCTAGTATCACTCAAAAGTCCAAGTCTAAAGTCTCTCCTGAGACTCAAGATGAAGTCATAGCTATGAACTTCTGTAAAAAATCAAAACGAAGTTATGTAATACCAAAGTATAATGCCACAGGGTAAACACTGCCATTCCAAAAGGGAGACATATGGAGGAAGAAAAGAACAGGTCCGGTGCAAAACTGAAACCAAGCAAGGCACACAGTGATAAGTTGTGAGTTCCAGAGAGATTATGTAGCTCCACCCATATGGCCTTGTTGCTTGTAGCCATAGGGCTTTTCTCTTGGGCTGGCTCCACTTGCGGCATGTAGCTTCCCTTAGCAGACATTGTTCCTGGTCTCTCCAACTTCCTGGAGTCTCCCCTGTACCCTTAGCTGTACTTCCACAGCTCATACACTGCCTTTTCAGGAGTTCTTTTCCTGGATTTCTATGCTTTCCTTTTTAAATATGGGTGGAAGCATTCATTATCCTATAACTCTTTAACTATATGTGTTTATAAAACCAGCATCACATGGACAATGCCAAAAGACCATTACTGAAGAGGGCTCGGAGTACCTCTGAAGAGGGCTGAACATAATGAAATGAATCCGGGGCTGAGGATTTAGCTCAGTGGCACAGTGCCTGCCTGGCAAGCGCAACGTCGTGAGTTTGATTCCCGGTATTGGAAAAAACGGAAAAAAAAACCCCAAAACCCAAAAAAACCAAAAAAAAAAAAAAAATGAAATGAGTCCCTGGCAATCAGTCACCTAGGTGGCCATTCTTAAGCAGGTGGCCTTAAATGAAATGTTTACACCTGAGGTTGTAGTGAGTAGGGTCTCGTTGATTCCATAGATGCCCCCAAGGCATCCTTCTTCTTGGTATGGTTCAATGTACTGGGTTTTTAAAAAAATGATTTTAATCTCTTCAGCAAACCAACTTCCTCTGGTCCCAACTTTACATATAGCCTCTTTCAGACCAAAATTTAAGTTTTTCAGATAATTTTTCTTCTGCTTTTTCTTCCTGCTTCTTACTATAAATCTAGATAAAAGTATCCAGCAGTACCCATGCCAGAGCCTGAACATGACTGCCTTGTAATTTCTTTTTCCAGATCAATGATCCTCAAACTCAGCCTTCTGCAAAGTTTCAGGACATCAGCAAATTATAGATAATATTTTTGCTAGAGCGTAACATGCATGGGCTCTCATCCACTTCCCCAAAGAATCTTTATTTCCAATTAAAAGCTCATGAGTCTAGCCTTTACTGTCTGCATTTATATTAACATTCCGGTTTTCTGAGCTCTAACCAGGCTCTGATTACAGCAGTCCATGGCTCCTCTAGCCCACATTTCCAAACTTTTTCTCCCACAAATCAATTCCAAAGATTTCTGAAACATATATATATATATATATATATATATATATATATATATATATATAAGCAGATATAGTCATATTAACAACTCTACTTCACTGGTACCATTTTCATCTATTTGTCTGCTTTCCTATTGCTTAGCAAATAAACACCCACAATTTAAAGAGCAGATGTTTATTTGGCTTGGCTTATGGTTTCAGAGGATTCAGTCATTACTAATTGGCTCCATACCAGGAACATCATGGCATACAGTTGTGGTGGGGCAAAGCTTAATTCATGTTAGCCTGGAGCAGAGCAGGGAAACAGCACCAAAAAGGAAGGGTACCAGATATAGTAACAAAGGTTATACCACCATGACCCACCCAGACACATCCAGAAGTGTCCTCTACTAATCTCCTAGATCATTCTCAAGCCAATCGAGTTGACAACCCAATTTAACTGTCACAGCTCATACATCTAAAAATTTTGCCAAGAACGCCATAATTAATTCTTTGGCCTATTTAAAATCAAATGAACTGTGAATCCTATTGTTTTCTGGCTCAGCAGATCCAAAGGATATTTGTGCACTCAAACGCCACTGCTAACAGCAAAATACTTTTTAAACAATGTTTTCCAGAGAAACATAACCAATAAGATGGGTGTATGTGTATATACACACATGCGCACGTGTACACACACACACACACACATACATGAAGGAGAACACTTCAAGGATTTAGCTTTCACCGTTCCATAAGCTGGCAAGTCCAAAATCAGCAAATGAGGCTGGAAGGCCAGAGATCCAGATGTTTACTGA